GCTAAGCCTGGCAAGCTACCTATGACGTATCCAATATACCAAACATAGTAACAAGTCTCACGATGGAGCCATTACTGGGCCCGCTCGAGCAAATTGATTAACAACAGGAGGGCAGTGACGGTGACAGTTATTATTCATCATATTCTTTTGTCTGTGTTTACTATTTACCAGATTTTAAAGTTACATTTTTCTGATCAAAGTTCTTGTGTGAGATATCAAGATATCTCATTTTAAAAATCAATAGGAAAAAAATATAATAGTCATTATGTACAAATTACTTTTCTGTTTATTTGTGCTTTTGTTTTTGTCTGGTCTGGGGACCATTCCTACTATGCTCTGATCTTACTTCTAGCTCTGTGCTTAGGGATCACTCACTCCTGGTTATGTTCAAGGGAACATACACAATGCCAGGGATGAACTGGGATCAACTGTATACAAGGAAAATGTCTTACTTTGTACAGTGAACTACTATTTATTCCTGTGGCAAAACAAAACAAAATAAATATTGGAGATGACAATCACATGTTGTTTGGAGAAGAAAAAGAAAATGGCCTGTGAAACTCAATCTGATAATATTTACACACACACAGATCTAATGTATGTGCATATATATGTATTATAATTCTATGAATAAAATTATATTATTTGTATAATAATGAAACTATGCATAATGATGCCAAATAAAAATATAAATATTAGAATATTAGGTCATAAAATGATTTTTAATCTCTTTTGACATAAGATATAGTTAAACTTTAATCTTTCAGGGCCAGAACAATAATAAAGTGAGTAGGGTATTTACCTTGTAGGCAGTCAGCCCAGCTTTGATTCCCGGCATCCTATTTGGTCTCCCCTGTACCACCAAGAGTAACTTCTGAGTGTAGAACCAGGGTGAGCACCATTGGGTGTGACCCAAACACGTCTGCCCCTCAAATTTCAATCTTATTTCTAATATATACTCTCTTCACAAACCAGACACAACATAAAAGTTATTTTTTAGCTTGTTTATCAAGAAATCTGCTTACTCCACACAATTTAAAACAAAAAGCAAGTATTTATAGCCAGATGGAAAAAGAAAAAATTATTATATGTAATAAATACATATGAATACTATTAAGAACCATATTTTAAGTGACTTAATAATAAATCTTGAATACTACAGTGATCTACAATAAAATGTTTGACTTAAGTATTCTTTATCATACCATACAAAAATGTCAAGATGATTAAGGGAGTTTGCAAAATTATGTGTATGGTGAAAGGGATTTCAAATTTCAGCATTGAACCATGGGGATAATCTCTGTAATCAGTCACCTGAACCATTTTTATCACTCAGAAGACTTAAGAGAATAAAAAAGTACATTATTAGTAAAATAAATCTTACTCCTTACTGTCTCCCAGGAATTATCCTCCAGTTCAACTGCACAGAAAAGAAAATTTTTATTTTACCCTTTTCAAATCTCATTGCACGCACACAATCTTGTAGCTCAGTCTCAGTGACATCTCACTAGTATTGTCAGGCAGGCCACTGCCGATGTGACATGTTCCCTCTGCACACGTGTGAACATCAAATGTGCCGGCATCGACACTTAAGAATGGATGTCGTGATTTGCAAGAAGTCTTGCAGACAGAAGAACATTTTTCCTCTTCTTCATTTAATCCCTAAGAACCAAACGGTTGTGGAAAGGAATGAATCAGACATGTTTAGCAACATTCTTTAAGCAGGAGTCAAAAGTGGATAACTATGTAATTACAAGTTCAGCTTAGGAGCAGCATCAGTGACTCTTAGCTCTTTGATGGATGATTTGAAGAAACGCTGCAGCATCAGACTCCTGAGAGAGGACAAGCTCATGGAGAGGCAGGCGCCAAAGAATCAAATGCTAAGTGTGAAAGGATTTTAATAATACCTAAACCAATTTATTTACATTAGTGTTCCTTTTCTTTTTGCATGTACAAGTTGGGATAATTAGTTTAAGATTATAACATCTCTTTCACTAAAGTTTAAAGAAAACATTCTGATCATGTCAGTTTAATTTGAAGGGTCTTTTTTATTAATAGTACAGAAAGTAACGGTGCCTGTTACAATGATAGCATCTTAGATTTCATGAAAGAGCGAATTCAGTTGGGGCACTCAGTGCTGTTCCTCTCTTCTCATAAAATGGATAGTTAATGAGCTTGAATAGGTTCAAATGTTTACTTTGTATATTTAAGGCTGGTTACTTTCCATGTGAACAAAGACCTGCAAACAGTTTTTATTCTGGTTTCACATAGGGACTTCAATTTGCTCAAGCAATTTTTATTTATTTAAAAAATTCGTCGAGGCACTGTGGGTTGGAGTAATAGTACAGCGGGTAGGGCATTTGCCTTGCACACAGCCAACATGGCCGACCCGAGTTCGATTCCTTCGCCCCTCTCGGAGAGCCCGGCTAGCTACCGAGAATATCTTGCCCGCACGGCAAAGCCTGGCAAGCTACCCGTGATGTATTCTATATGCCAAACATAGTAACAACAAGTCTCATGATGGAGATGTTACTGGGCCCGCTCAAGCAAATTGATGAACAACGGGAGGACCGTGACTGTGACTGTTGAGGCACTGTGATTTACAACGTTATTCATGATTTAGTTTCAGGCATACAATGGTCAAACACACCAGTTCCTTCATCAGTGCCCTCTTCCCTCCACCAATGTCCCCAGTTCGCCCCTGCCTTTCCCCCCCACCCCCGTCCCAGTCTGCCTCTATGGCAGACAACTATGGTTTCATGCAAAGCATTTTACAGCCTTCCAGAACTTCTCTTTCCCCTCCTCTTCTTCCTCCTCCAGTGTGACCACTTTCTCTCCTTCATTGTCATAGTGTTCATCCCCCAATCCCTAGAGGGATGCTTCCTATGGAAAACCAGTTCTCATGTTTCTCCATTTCTATTGCTTTTAGGCATTTGTTATTCTCCTACAGCGTGTTGTTGGTGATCTTTATTTCTTTTTAAAATGTCATGGCTAAAAAAAGGAAAGAAAATTTTGCAAACCACAATACCCAAAAGGAGAGAGAGAACAAAAGGGAATGCCCTGCCACAGAGGCAGGGTGTGATGGGGGGACTAGGGGGTGGGAGGGATGCTGGGACCCGTGGTGATGGAAAATGGGCACTGGAGGAAGGATGGGTACTTGATCATTGCATAACTGAAACCCAAGCACAAAAATATGTAAGCCTACAATTGTACCTCATGGTGTTTCACTAATAAAAATTTAAAAAATAAATAAATAAAAATAAACTATTCAGGTCTCCCAAAGAAGAATAGAAAGAGCTATGCTTGGAATATCACGTTTCACTCAAATGAGAGAACGAATCCGGAGTTCTGACATCCGTCGACGATCAAGGATCAGGGACGCTGTCTCATTTGCCAAGGTGTCAAAAATCAGATGGGCTGGTCACGTAATGAGATTTAAAGACGACTGTTGGACTAGAGCTGTTACTGATTGGATTCCACGGGATGTCAAGAGACCGCGTGGCCGCCCACCTACCAGATGGTCAGACTTCTTTGTCAAGATCATGAACGATCGGTTTGAGGCCCTTCATGTTCCCGGAGCGAAGAGATGACATTGGGCTACACTAGCACGCGACAGGGACAAATGGAGACGTTACTGGCGCCTGCTCGAGCAAATCGATGACTAACGGGAAGTTAAGTGATTAAGTGATTAAACTTAATTGGCTTGGAGACAAAAAAAATAAAGAATCATCATTGATAGTTAAGTGACTGAAGGAAATCACTTAAAAATTATTTCTACAAAGGAATTTTGAGATTTTTTAAATAAATTAAGTTGCAAGTTAAAAAAAAGAAAAGAAAAGAAAAATGTCAAGGATCCTTTTTTTAAAAAAATTTTTTTAATTGAATCACTCTGAGATAGACCATTACAAAGCTGTTCATGATTGGATTTTAGTTATACAGTCATGGGTTCTTTTATAGGGAATTCTTAAATGTCGTGGGTATTCTTATAGGGAATCTGCATAATGAATCTGTATAATGCTTCGGGCAGTATTGTCATTTTGACAATGTTAATCCTTCCTATCCATGAACAGAGGATGTATTTCAATTTCCTCATGTCTTCTTTTATTTCTTTTAATAGTTTTTTGTAGTTAGTTTCCTTTTATGGGTCTTTCACCTCTTGTTAAGATGATTCCTACTACTTGATTTCTGAGGTGCAGTTGTGAAAAGAATTAAAAAACACTTCTCTCTCTTCTATTCCATTGTTTGCATATTTAAAAGTCATAGATTTTTGTGTGTTCATTTTGTAGCCTGCCATTTTACTGTACAAGTTCATTGTGTCTAGGGCCTTTTTTGTAGAGTGTTTAGGGCTTTCTAAATATAGTATCATGTCATCTATAAATAGTGAGAGCTTGACTTATCTTTCTCATCTGAATACTCTTAATATCTCTTTTTTTGCCAAGACATTTTTTAAAAAAATATTTATTTTTATTGAATCACCATGAGAAAAAACAGTTACAAAGTTGTTCATGGTTGGGCTTCAGTCATACAATGTTCTAACCTCTGTCCCTTCACCAGTGTACATTTCCCACCACTACCATTGTCCTTTTCCTTCTCACCACACTTCCCTCCTCTATGGCAGGTGCTTTTCTTCTCTCTCTCTGTCCTTTTGGCCATTATGTTTTGCAATATGGGTACTGAATGGTTATCGTGTTTGTTTCTTTACCTACTACAGCACTCAGTTCTTGTCCATAGTGATCATTTCCATCTATCATTGTCATAGTGGTCCCTTCTCTATCCTAACTCTATTACCTCACCACCAATACTGACAAGCGTCTAACTGTGGACCAGTCCTCCAGGCCTTTATTTCTACTGTCCTTGGGTATTAGTGCCAAAAGATTTTTAATAGCATTTAATTGCCAAAAAAAATTTCTTGGAGAAATGTTTGTCATTAAAATGTTATTTGAGTTTTATTTATATGACTTCCTTTATAGCTTTGGGTTGACTCTGGTTTCCTTTGCTAGGGGTGCAGGCTGTATCTTCATTGAAATGTTCCAGGGCCAACCTTTGTTTCCTGGGGTGTCCAACATCTTGGAACAGCTGGAGAAGATCTGGGAGGTAAGAAAAAAAGATTCCTGGCTTTTTCTCCTCTGGAGAAGTCTGTGTTCTCTCTTAAACACCTCTCTCTCTCTCTCTCTCTCTCTCTCTCTCCCCTCCCCCCTCTTTCCCTTTCCCTCACACTTTTCTAAATTTCTTTCAATAAAACCTGCTTTTGCAAAGAGAGAAGGGGTGGGTGTAGATTTGTTCCTAGGAAAAAAAAATATGTATGTGCATTTCAAACTTTGAACCAAGTTTCTCTTCGAGACAATGAAGTAGTCCATCTGCTTTAAGGCACTAAGCTGCATTGGGCCAGAGACACAGCTTAATAGGCTGAGCACAGGCTTTGCATGCAGGATGCCTAGGTTCAACCACATGGTCCCCTGAGGGACACAAGGATTGACACAGAGTATCAAGCTGGGAATTGCCCCTGAGAATTCCTGGGTGTGGCCAAAAATGAAGGCTGTGGAAACTGATATTTGTTCCAGGTATCAGCACCTTTGAGATGAATGTCAAGAACCCCTCTGCTGCCCATCAGCAGCTCAGAAATCTATCTGCCCCCTACTCTGATTGCTCAATGTCCAGAGGCAATTTCTGCCATCATTACTTAAATGAATGTACTGTGGCACCCCCGTTCCTACCATGTACTTTGTCCTGGACTGTGTCAAACAAATATGAGATGAAATTCTAATAAGACAAAGATTTTCTTTGTCAGTGTGAGAGAAGTATACTCTTTATTATGCTTTTCCTAAGGAGTGTGTGTGTGTGGAACCAGGAATCAAATTCAGGATCTCACAGATGCAAGCAAGTGCTTTACTGCTGAGCTACCTCCGTAGCTCCCTAGACCAAATTCTTTTTCTCTGGGACAGAGGATGTCTTCTGAGCAGTGCTCAGGAGGTTCAGGCGCCCAGTCTGGTGGTTCTCTGTGATTCAGGCTGGCAGTTCATTGCAAGGACCTCATGTGGCACTGCTGTCCTTCAGTGCCAGAGATCACTGGGGCTATCCAAGGGGGCTTGGGAGGGGTGGTAAGCATACAGAGCTGCACCTGGTAACATTCCTGCTACTCTGTGGTGCTGGGGATTGAATTGAGGTCTCGTGCTTTAAGCCCTGTACTGTCTCTCTGGTCCTCCAAAATAATTCTTAATGTGTGTATGATTTGATTTCTTGATTCATTATTTATTCCTATCTCATTTACCTATAATATCCTTTCCATTGTTAGTTCTTGTGCCATGTACTGTAGTCATTGGTACATGGCTTGGCTTTTTGATGACCTTTAAAATTCTGCTAAAACATAATATAAACCCTATATAAAATTGACCATTTTAATTATTTTAAGTGTCCATTTTAACTATTATAAGTGCATAGTTTATTGTCATAATTACATCACAACCATCATTGTCATCCATTTTCAAATTTTAAAAAAAATCATCCCTAACAGATGCCCTGTACTCTCCATCTTTCCTTCTCCTTGCCCTCCTCCTCACATCTACATTTTGTGTCTGTGATCTGTAATTTTAGGTATTTCATGTAAGTAGAGCCTTGTAGTATTTGTCTTCGATATCTGACTTATTTCAGTGAGTAAAATATTTGCAAGTTTTCATGGCATAGAATATGTCAAAGTCCTTTTTTTTTTTTTTGCTTTGGCATGGGGAATGTGGGAGTATGGGCCACACCCTGTGGTACTCAGTGTCTATTTCTAGCTCTGTACTCAGGGGACCATATGTGGTATTAGGGATTTGAACCAGAGTCACAGCCACTACAGTTGCATTCAAGGCAGGTGTCTTACCTTCTGTTCTATCTTTCTGACTCCTTGAACACTTTAAACTGGAGACAGAGGGGATTTTTGCTTGTTATTGTCCATCCTGCTTTTATTCAAATTTGCTTGCTCAAGCAGATATCTGGAGAATTTTCATACAGTAAAGAGCACCTCTGCAATATTCTGCTACAGAGTGAGCAGTGGGGAAAGTGCAGGTGAGGAAACTTGTCTTCTTTCAAGCTCTCTCTTTTAAAAAAACAAACCAGTCTTATTCATTTTTAAAAATGTTAATTGTTTTGGTTTTGGGGCCACAGCCAGCAGTATTCATGGCTTATTTCTGACTCATTGATCACTCCAACAATGCTGGAGGAATATGGGGTGACAGGGATCAAACCCAGGTCAGCCAAGCCATGTGCAACGCAAGCACCCTACTGATTTTTTTGTATTATCACTTCACCCCTTTTAAATAGTTCTAATTTATCTATCCCCATTTTTTTCTTCCTGTCCAGTTATGTCATACATTTTTATTTTCAAATTATGTTCCCACTATGGAGTCCTTCATTTATTTCTTTTTAAGTTGAGTTATCTTTAATACTCACAAAGGTAAGGAATATTTTCAGGGAATGTTTATAAAAGAGGGGAAAGATTTATCCCTCGACCACATATATGTCTTGATTGCTTGTCTCTGTTTCTCTGCTTGCCTTTTCCTACCCTGAAGAAGCCTGCACGTTCTCTCTCGAACATATTTCCTCTTCTCTCCCCTCATACCTTTCAAAATAAGTTTCAATAAAAACTTTCTTGCTTCAGGAGAAAAAAGATGTAGTTACTAGTTTAAAGGGTCACAGACTGATTTCTGTGAAGAAATTGTATGAAGAGGAGATTATGGGTACAGGGAAAGAAAAATATTCTATGCAGTCTATTGCTTTACATTTCTGACCAAGGAGACATTATTTTCTAGATTTAAAAAAATGTGCTTGTGAATTGAAGACACCTCATAGAGATTAATTACTATCGTTACATTTTCTTTTGGAAACATGGTGGGTATTATGGTCCAACATGAAAAAAATTAATTGGAAAGCATTTCCCAACTAAAGTACATTTTTAAGCCAAAAAGATTCTTTCTCAAAACTCTCCGGCAAGACAGATAAATACTGTCTCCAAACAGCATTATGCATCCTATAACATCACTTAAGTTGAAGGGAACCTAATGTAATGATTTGGAGTATAATCTGGCTTTGAATTCTATTCCCTTCTGGCTAAATGAACTTGAACAAGACATGCAGTCCCTCAGAGCTTCAGTTTTCTCATTTGTTAAATGGGAATGGAGATAATGATTCTTGCTCTGAGAATTTCATAAGATCCAATACTTTAAAAGCTCTATATACCAAAAATATTTAATAACTTAATTGCTGCCATTCAATTAATATACTATATATCACAGGTAATTGATATATATAATGTAGATATGTGTGTATATATATCTTAATGGGAATGTACACACACACACACACACACACACACACACACATATATATATCAATAGCCTCATAGCTAACAAAGCTTTCCTAATATTTAACCTATGTGTTCTTGCCTTCTACCTAGTATTTTTTTTAATGTAGGAGTACTGCTATTTATTCATCAATTGAATAAGACCTTCTACCTAGTATTACAATTGTTGCTCATAAGAGATGAATAAAGCACACTTTGAATTGCCTACACTTCACCTTGAAATGACTTTTTACACATTTGAAGGGTTTTTTCTACTCATTTTATCAGGAAGCAACACTTATTGGACACTTATCTAAACTGCTTTGCAAGGTCTTAAAATAATTTACAAGGTGTGGGGGAAAGGAAAGCTAGGAAAACACATTATCTGTGCTTCCAAGTGTTGTTCAGTCTAGATGAGGTGATGCGTGAATATATGTAAAAAATAACCCCATAAACTATGCATATGTATAAAAGGCTATATGTGCAGATAGTTACTATACATATAATTCTGAAATAAGTGTGCTATTAGGACACTTTATAAGTTGTCTTTAAGCTGATTTCTGAACATTGCTTACTATTTTTAAATCATCATGATCTCAAAAGCAATCATTTTACAGTTCTTTGCATTTGGCACAGTGCTCAAGACACAGTTTGAAAGAGTTAGCCCTTGGCTATTGATTCAAGTTTGTAGAACTGATCTTGGTGACCAACACTGGCCATCTGTAGGATGTTTAAGGTAATGTAGTAAATGGAAGAATTTAGACTTAAATCTGGACATAAAGTTTTGAAGCATGAGTGACACAGTAAAAACAGACATGTCTGAACAAATCAGTACAACAGGCCCGCCCAGGGAAGTCATACTCAGTTATACCATTATCCTTATTACACTGCAAGAGATCAAAGGGTCTTTATTTTGACATTTATGACAACTCATTACAAATTTTAAACAAGTAAACACGTTAGAAATAACACTGGCCTGGGATGTTTGTGTGTGTGTGTGTGTGTGTTCTAAACCCCTTTCTCACTTCAGATTACAGGGTGGAGCAAGTTGCATCATCAACATCCTTAGGTTTCCAGAGTCTTATGTTGCATTTGATTTTCTGACTACATGAAGTTGTTTGTAACTTCTTTGAATAAGGTATCAAATGAATATTAAAATGTGAAATCATAAAATATTTAAATATAATGTTAACTATCATTATCTTAAGTCATAATATTCTTTACTGTTCTTTAGATGCCCCACTCCTGTCTCCCCCTCCCCCGCACTCCCCTCCCCTGAGCTATTTCTCAGGGTTTTGGGATATGTATATCTCACTGTTAACCTTCAGTCTCTGCTGATCAGGGAGAGAGTTCCAATTCTGTGCTGGGTTACTAGGATTTGTGGGCATCGGCAAGTTAGGTTCAATAAGTCTCATTTTCCCCCTTGTCCTGTCCAAGAAAATAGAGGCTACACATTTATTCTTACATCTGTAACTCCACACTCTGAGGGCAAAGTCACCACAGTGAACATTAGATTGATTCTATCACAACAACTTAAAATTATTTTAAAGAGACTACAAATAGCTCCTGAATTTCTGTATTACTAAATATGGTCTACACAGATCAAAATAGGATGCTATTTGGGGCTCTAAAAGAGTTGATGGACCCAAGCACAAAAATTTGTAAATCTACAACTGTACCTCAGAGTGTTTCACTAACAAAAATTTAAAAAAAAAATGTAAATGACGGAGAATGGACACTGGTGGAGGGATGGGTACTTGATCATTGTATAACTGAAACCCAAGCACAAAAATTTGTAAGTCTACAACTGTACCTCATGGTGTTTCACTAATAAAAATTAAAAAAAAAATAGCCAAATATAAGATAAAAAAATAATAAAAAAAAAAAAGTTGATGGGGGGATTGCTTCTTTGTAAGCAATGGATTCATCTACTTCTAAAGTCTGACCACAATTTTTTCCTCTATAGTAATTCTAAGATCTCACACTGAGGAATAAAGACATAATGAGAAGTCTTGAATTTTTAAAATCATCTTCTAAAATACATCTCTTGTTCACTGGTGACTTCTTAGAATCTAATTCTTTCAACAAGTGTTTTTTTTTTTCTATTTTTTAAGTAAATGATCCCAGAGCCAATCCTAAAATCAGAATAAAATAACTAGACAAACTTTAAATCCATTAATCAAAAATACCTTCAGTTTCCATTCCAAGAAAGGCAGATAAATAGTCCCTGTAGCTCACTGTGGCTTCAAACATCGCACTCACTAGCTGCCTTTTAAGAGTCTTTAGGGAGGGACTAAATCAACAATTCTTGGTTTTCAGTTTCCCAGAGAGTGAAGTAGAGATTTAGTAATTTTCTCATGTGAAAAAGAATTTAATAACTTTCAAAACAGAAACTGAGCATCATATGTCCAAACAAAGCATGTTGAATTATTATTTAAACTTTAAAACTTTTTGTAAAACTTTAACAATGAAATATAAGTGTTAGCATATTTTAGAAATTTTGGTAGCTATTTTGTTGGCTTTAATTAAACACAACTCAAAGTAACCAACAAATCTGGTAACTTTCACCTTAAAGAAAATGATATGTTCATTATTTATTTCCTTTGTAGCTTTTTCTTCTTTCCTCTTTTTGTTCACTATGTTTTGTCACCAACAGGAGACTATGGGTACATGTGAACTACACCCATTTATTTATATGCACATCTGTGCAAATGCTTAAGACGTAGGTCAAAAAAGAAGAATTAGCTTCCCATCCTCTGACCTTCAGCCACAAAAGAAGAATTAGTTTAGTTGGTTTTTCAAAATGGATTCCAGGATTCTTCATGTTCCCTCAGGCTCAGGGAGGTTCATAGAGAAAGCCCATAATCCTCTCAGCAGCTTTTCAGTTTGTTTGGGGAATGGATCAAAGAGAGAAGATTTTACTGGGTGGATGATTTTTTCATTATATAAGGCAAAATAGTAATCCAGTGTCTTTTGTTTAAGAACAAACTGACCAGACACCACAAAGTATACCTCTCAGCTGGAGTTCTAGTCAGCAAGCTGGTAGATCTAAGATTCAGAATTCCTCATTGATTATGATCAGTTATTATTGTTGGGCATTTGACTTTCTGCCATCACAAATGGGCTGGCAACTATAGCCAGCATTTTCCAAATGATTGTTTTACAAGAGATGCTTCTAAAAGAATTATATTGAGATGTGCTTCTAAGAAGAGTTATATTGCTACAGTATAATGAAGCCTACCAGTGTTTTTCTTATTTTTCACAAAATAATGTTATTATAATCCTAGATGAAATGAACATTGATTGGGTTTTTGTAATCATCTTAAAAGAATGGTAAGAAGATGATTATTAGAGAACTCACAGAAATTGTACGATCCAAAGTCTGAAATGCTTTGGCTTTGTATTTCAAAGACTGATTTTCATGTTAATTAAAAACTAGAGGTGATTGGTGATATAGCTCAGCAGTTGATCACTTCCCTTGTTTGTGTGAGACCTTGGGTTCGTCCCTTGCAGGAAAAAACAAACTAGAGCTTCAATTCATTATTACAAAATATAAGGATGCTCTTTTTAAAGAGATGATGTTACTGTTACAATGTACAAGTTAAAAACCAAGTACCACTGTCTCCTAGCCATAGAAATAAATAAGCACTTGAGATGAATTTTATAAAAACAGACTAAAATTAGGTTGTGGAATCATTTTTAGCTGAACTGTTGCTGCCTAAAGGTCAGTAATCCAAATTCATTTAAATTCATGCTCTTTGGGAAATAGCTGAATGCCCAGGAGGCATAGTTTTGAACTGTTCAGAGTTTCTATTGATACACACACACACACACACACACACACACACACACACACACACACACAAACCCCTTAACATAACCTAACTTATAACTCCAATATAGCAACCCAACAATGTATGATTCTCATGCAGTAAATGTTTAGTGACGAGAATATAGACTTTACGTGTGACTGTACGATCTGCCTCTGATCAAGTGAGTAAGTGAAATTAAAGGCTCAGAACTGTGTGTGTTGGGGCTCTTTAGAAAACTAGAACCAATGGGACATATATGGATATATATGGGTTTATAAGAGAAAACTTGATTAGGGGAATTGGCTCCTATGGTTGTGGGGGCATAGCTATGTTGCCTGCAAGCTGGGGCACCTGAAAGATGAATCCTATAACCTAGACTCAGGCTGAAGACACCAGGTGTTCTGATGTCTAAGAGCAGGAGAAGAAAAATGTCCCAGCTCAAGAAGAGAGAATTTCTTCTTTGTTTTGTTGCTATATTGTTGCTCTGTTTGTCTTTAATAAACCATAAGATGTCAGCTCATATTGGTGAGAGCAAATGTCTTTACACAGTCTATAATTCAAATACCTCACATATGCCAGAGAGATGGTACAGGGTGTAAGACACTTGCCTTGCATGCAGCTGAACCAAGTTTGATCACAGGTACTGCTTTTGGTCCCTCAAGCACCACCAGCAGTGATCTCTAAGCACAGAGCCAGGAGTAAGCCAAGTACAACCAAAAATTAAAAACCAACCAAACAAAACAAGCAGATGCCTCACAGACACACCCAGAAATATGTTAGTTTTCAATGTGATCACTGGGCGGCAGGGGAAAGCCCCGGCGACTCTCCCTCTCGCTGCCCAGGTTCTCTCGCCGCCCGGGTTTGGTGGTCTCAAATCACTTCCCAGCCAGGGGCGGCCCATGCTACATGTGGACAAAGGAGGAAACAAGGGCCAGGTTCATTGATGATCAGTTGCCATTTATTCCATTCTCCCCATGTGCCTGTTCCAGTCTCACTAAACTCATTCTAGTCTCACATTGCCCCTCATTGCATCTCTTCCTGTCTCTCCAGCTCAGCTCTCCACATGCTCCCTCTCACTGCCTTGTCTCTCCTCTTTCCACATGCCTGATCCTGCATTCTTCTCCATTCTTCTCCCTCTGTCTCCCTTGCTAGTCTCTCCGTGCTCCATCTTGCTGCCCTGGTCTCTCTCTCTCCCCTCCCCTCTCCCCCTCCTCCTCTTCCTCCCCCCTTCCCCCTCCCCCCTCTCTCCTCTCTCCTCTCTCCTCTTTCCTCTTTCCTCTCTCCTCTCTCCTCTCTCCTCTCCACATCTAGGGTAGCCTCCACATCCCATCAGGTAGCAAAATCAACATATGAAAGCCCTTCCTCTGCTCCTGGGCAACCACTTAAGGTGTTTTTCTCCTTTCCTTAGTTCAATAACTTAATTAACATCTTAATTCTACTTCTTAATATTAGTTATTTTGCATGGATACAGTAAGAGATACATTGAGCTTGTAGGGTGGCTCTCCTGGGGACATCACACCAAAGATTCAGACTACAGTGCTCAGGCCAGATTAATCATTCCTAGCCCTAGCAGGGTCCAAATCTAGTTATTACTTTTTGGATCAGGCTGGAGCGATAGCACAGCGGGTAGGGCATTTGCCTTGCACGCAGCCAATTTGGCCAACCCAAGTTCGATTCCTCCGCCCCTCTTGGAGAGCCTGGCAAGCTACCGAGAGTATCTTGCCCACATTGCAAATCCTGGCAAGCTATCCGTGACGTATTTGATATGCCAAACACAGTAACAAGTCTCACAATGTTACTGGGTCCTCTCTAGCAAATTGATGAACAACAGGAGGACAGTGACAGTGACTTTTTGGATCATGACAGAATTTGTCCATGACCATGCTCTTAACTTACAGTTAAGTATTAAAGTATTATGGCACTTTGGCCAGGCCCATTTTGATGCCAGGGTAGCTCACCACTTGCCCTGGGTCCATTAAGTCCCTCATCAGGATCCTGGTTTTGGGGTACTAGGAAGTAAGGGCAACTGGGGCTTAGATTGAGGGAACAGATGTCTGAGAGGTAATATTATCCCAAGTTATAAAAGCATAGCATTAACTGTCTTCCTGTGTCCATACAAAAAGAACATTGCTCCGAGTTAACTATGCAAGGGACTTCAGGTAAAGGTAAAGGCCCTCCCGTTGATCGTCGATTTGCTCGAGCGGGCCCAGTAACGTCTCCATTGGAGACTTTGTTGTTACTGTGTCTGGCATATCGAATACTCTCGGTAGCTTGCCGGGCTCTCCGAGAGGGGCGGAGGAATCGAACTCGGGTCGGCCATGTTGGCCGCGTGTAAGGCGAACGCCCTACCCGCTGTGCTATCGCTCCGCCTTGGGACTTCAGGAGAAAAGAAAAACAATATTTACAAGTCAACAGAGCACAAAGAAAGAAGTTACAAGTAAACATAGAGGAATGGGAGCACTGTGATGGGAGTAACCCAATAAATCTAAGCTCCCTTCGGTAAGGCTGAAAGGACAAACCAATGTTATCCTCCAGTTTTCTACAACTGCTTTTGTTTTCGTGGTACTGGAGAATCTAAGCCAGAGACTCACACAAGCAAGGCAAGAGCTCTTCCATTGAACTATATTCCCAATCCCAATCCCAGAAAGAATGTTCCACTAGTTATCTGGGCATTTTGTAGCCCAAACAAGTGGACATATATAATAAACCATCACAGAACCCTGGGAATGTTCTACAGTTTTTCCATGAAACTGCAAATGAAACTACAAACACTAATATTTATTCCTTCTCTACATGAGGTATAGTGTGATCTACTCCTGGTTCTCCCTGATCATTCTCCATGCCTATACATCCCACCATCTACCGTATCTGATTCTCCCTCAGTCTCCTTTTCTTTGGCTTTTTATAGGTACTAGGAGTTCCTACAGAGGATACCTGGCCTGGAGTTTCCAAACTACCTAACTACAATCCAGGTAATATTAATTTAACCTTCTGAATGCTTTGAAAATGAGCTTTGAGAACATTGGGCAGTGTTATGTTTTTCTGTGGCTCGCTCCACAGGCAAGATAAGTCTAAGGAAGTTTTTAATATTCATATTCTCCTCTGTGGAGGATACTGAAATGGTTGGTGGGGTTCGACCAGTTCTCTACCTTTGCAAAACACCAGGAACAAGCCAAATATGAATTTTAAATTATTATAATTTGTGGGTTCCGCATCCATTTCCAAATGTCCCATAATCCCCTGCCCAAATAAAACCAACTAAGATGGACAGGAACATAGGTCTGTGGCAGGACACATGCCTCGCATGTATAAGGCCTGGATCTAATCCCAACCTTTTCACCACCCTACCACACACAAAAACAATTCAAAAGGTAGTCTCGTTTGGAATGCTGTAACTATAATTACAGTTGCTTGCTAGGCTGGTGTACACCATAAAGTGTAGAAATGTAATACAACAAAAGCTGAGTCATAAGCATTCATTCATTGCCTTTAGATTTGACACTTGGTCATCTTTGGTCATGCATGCTGTCTTCCAAGACTGGCTCCTGGGTCTATAAATATTGGAAATGTTTTGAAGAGGAAAGTCTTTGAGGAATGGTCTGAGAAATAGTCCCTAAGCTATGTGAAAAGGTTCAGATTGCCCAGAAGTCACTGCAAGGATGTGATATGAAAAGCAGAGAAATAAGCAGTGAGCTACCACACCAGAAGCTGCAGCCTCACATCATTGTCATGTGGCAGCAGGATTCTTGTTGGGATATTTAAGGAGGAGATAATTATGTATAGATAAAGAAAAGATTACAATTTACACTATCTAGTCTTTATAGTGTTATACTGTGCCATAATTGTCATATTTTTACCTTTGATATTGACTTTCCCTGAAAGTGTTTTATGAATGCATGAAATTGCAGCCAATGGCCGGAGGTGTAGATCAAATGTAGATCAATCACTTGCCTCATATGCATGTGGCCTTGGATTTGATTAAGAAAGAGAGAGAGGTGCTGGAGCAATAGCACAGCGGGTAGGGTGTTTGCCTTGTATGCAGTCTACCCGGGTTCGATTCCCAGCATCCCATATGGTCCCCTGAGCACTGCCAGAGGTAATTCCTGAGTGAAGAGCCAGGAGTAACCCCTGTGCATCACCAGGTGTGACCCAAAAAGCAAAAAAAAAAAAGAAGAAGAAGAAAGAGGGACGGAGGGACTGAAGGAAAGAAAGAAAAAAAAGGACGAAGAAAGGAAGGAGAAGTGAAGGGAGAGAAAGGAAGGGGAAAGAAAGGGAAGGGAGGAAGAAAGGAAAGAGAAAGGAGAGGAGGGAGGAAGGAATAAACAAATTTAGAAAGGGAAACTAAATTATAAGAAATTAAAACGTTTAAAGATAAAGGAGACTTTCTTTTCTCCACCATGCAATTCTTTTCTTTTCTTTTTTTTTTTTTTTTTTTTTTTGCTTTTTGGGTCGCACCTGGCAATGCATAGATGTTACTCCTGGCTCTGCACTCAGGAACTACTCCTGGCGGTGCTCAGGGGATCATATGGGATGCCAGGTCAGCTGCGTGCAAGGCAAACGCCCTAGCTGTCCTACCTTCTGTGCTATCACTCCAGCCCCCACCATCCAATTCTTTAGCTCAAACAGCTAGACATAGAAAGCAGATGAAACTTGTAGTTACTAGAGATGGAGTGAGAGTATGAATGACAGATTGGAGGAAGGAAGGTAAAAGGTACAAACTTCCAATTATCATATGAATGCTAGTAAATCAACAGATAACACTACAACTATAGCAAACACTGCTGAATGGAACATTGATAAGAAAGCAAACCCTAAAAATTATTACAGAGACCAGTTTTCCTCTTTCATGTATCTATGTCAGAAGATGGATGTTAATTAAACCTATTTGGTAATCATTTTGCCATGTATATAAATCAAACCATCATAGCTCTATGCATGAGCTTTTATAAGATGCATATAAATCATTTCTCAAAAAAGCTAGAAAAAAATGAAAACACAGCTATAAATAGAGATCACACACCTTGAGCTGACCAGAATTTTGGAAACTCTATGGCAAGATTTGAGAAAACTCTGTTAAAGTCATTTCAACAAAAAGAATGATCATTTGTATTGATGTGTGGCCTCTGGGTCATTTACAAGACATGTATCTGTTCTAGCTTTCTGTTTTGTTTAGAAGATCAATCTGGTGTGCTCAGGGATTACTCCTGGATCTGTGCTCAGGGATCACTTCTGACAGTGCTTAGGGGACCTTATGCAGTTCTGGGAATTGAACCCAGGTCAGCTACATGCAAAGCAAGCACCTTACCCACTGTACTGTCTCTCCACCACCAAGTTCTAACTATTTTGCTGGAGGTTAACACCTGACTAAAATGCTACTCCAGACACAAAGCTTTGAATATTCCCCTTTCTCTTTTTCTCTGTGCTACAAAAAACAATGGGCTGGAGCAATAGCACAGCAGGTAAGGCGTTTGCCTTGCATGCAGCCAACATGGCCAACTCGAGTTCGATTCCTTCACCCCTCTTGGAGAGTCCAGCAAGCTACCAAGAGGATCTCACCAGCTTGGCAAAGATATGCCAAACATAGTAACAACAAAGTCTCATGATGGAGACGTTACTGGGCCCGCTCAAGAAAATCGATGAACAAGGGAAGGACAGTGACAGTGACAGTGACAAAAAACAATAGGCTTTTGTGGAGACCATGGTTCTGTCTGTCTTTTCTTTTCCCTGCCTGTGAGCATGGATTTCCTCTCTTCATGAACATGTGACTCCTCAGTCTCATACAGACATAAGCAGAAATCCAAGATTATAGATGATTTGTTGAAAACAATTTGGATGTTTCCAATACAGAATGCTTTGGCACACACAGGGCTTCTCTACCAAGCTTCACATACTTGGATTTCAGATTAGTTCAGGTAACACACAGTAATATTTTACACAGAATGATTTAGCGAGAGCAATAACGATAGAAACTTGGCCAAAATGCTTCCCTACCAGACTCTGTATTAAATAGGATAACTAGATTCCAATAAAACAGTATAAACTAGATAAGTAGTTTCCAATAAACTGAGAAATACATTGCGTTTCACATTTTGCTGTCTTCAAATTAGTGTACAATATTATAGTTATGAAGAATGTTTTCCAGGCCCAGCATCCATAAGGTTCTTACTTGGCATTGCTTTTCTAATGAATATTTAATTCAAGTAAGTTAAACATTTTCAAGCACCTACTACCCATTAGGTGCTGTTTTATGTTCAGTCTGCACAGATGGATACATTATGTTCTTGGGTCTCTAAGAACTTGGGTTTGTACTAACTTGTCCACACTCTGTCACCAGCTCTCCTTACTCCTGGGGCCCTCGTTTGTGAGCCCTACTGTCATGGACTAGGGCAGTGTGTTGCTGTCAGGCTAAGGGAATTGTAATCTTAGCCACAGCCAAGATGTCTAAGCCAGATTTCGCTGGATAACCTTTTTGTTTGGTTGGTTGGTTTGGGGGACACACTTGGCAGTTCTCAGGACTTCCTCCTGACTCTGCTCAAGGATCTCTCCCAGTGGGGTTCAGGGAACCATAGGGGGCTCAAACATGGGTCAGTCACATGCAAGGCAAGCACCCTTCCTGCTTTACTATCTCTCCAACCCTTTGTTGGACAATCTAAAAGTTCAGTATTGATGGGGCATGGGACCAGTGTTATTGGAAATTCAGTCATGAGGACTATGTTCTCAGGGTCACCCACTTCTGACTTCCAGGAACATGCTTCATGCAAATCAGCAAATTCCTGGTATCTAGCACTCCACTCTCCCCACTCCCTACTTCCCCCACTTTCACACACTTGAACTCCAGTGATTAAGGGAGTAGAAGAGGAATAGGAGCCAGCACATGCCCCAGAGGGAACTGTTCACAGCATTCTGACTAAGATTTCCAATTCTTTTCCTTTCAAGCCATAGTAAGAGCCCCCAGACTTAAACTCAGCCGAATGTGGAGAAAACTAGGGAGTGCAGGAAGTCAGAGCAGCTTCCAGTGTCATCTCTGTCCACAAGGATCAGGCAGTTTCTCATCCTACATACAGATTTTTAAAACAAAAACAAATTAAAAAACAAAAAACAACCCTCGCTGAGCCATAGCTAGGTGTCTCAGCAATTCTTTGGGTACAAACGGAAAGGTTGTATGTTTATTTTCCTTTCTTCTGCCTTCTTTCCTACTTTCCTTCCTCCCTCTTTCTTTTTTCTCCCTTCCTCCCTCCTTTCCTTCCTTCCTTTTCTCCCACCCCCCATTTTAAGCAAGCTGGCTGAGAACTCTGTGTCCTCCACTTCAAAGGGCCGGTTGTCTTATTTTGATGTGGGCAGATTGAAAAGTAGGCTTTGAAAAGTATGCCCCCCCCCCTTTTTTTTTTGTTTAATCTTTTCTCCTGGGATAGCTTTCAGAGCAATATATCCAAGTGTCAGTGAGGGGGTTCTGACGAGCACGGATTCCCAGACTCTCAGCAGGATCATTCTCTAACAGAAATATAAAAGTGAAATATTAAAAACCCTGGAACGTGAACTCCATCTGCAGAGTAGCCAGTGTCTTGTCTGCTTGCACCATGGGAAAAAAAAGATTGCCTTGAAAAAAGAGGGAGGGGAAAAATAGTGCTTTGAGTAAGAGGTTTACAGGTTTAGTAGAGCATAGTAACATCCCCTCAAAGAAGTGGGTGTTGCTCTGTGACCCCCCAAAATGCTCCTCCTTTGACTCAGCCGCCAGAACACTCACCCTCCCCATCACCCCCCCCAAAACACACCCCCTTTTCACATGCTAACTGAGGTGCCTGTGATTGGCTGAACAATAAGCTGGTCACACTTGCTAAGGGCCTGCCATCTTTCACACAATTAGCCAAGACACATTAATCAAACTGGCGGAGACCCAGGGACTGGCTGAGGGAGTTCGGGGAGGGGAGAAATTTTGATGGTCCTTAATAAAAATCCATAAGAAGCAATATTA